CCCACAGGCTCCACTCCTCTCACAAAACCTCTTTGTACTCCGGGCGAGTGATCTTTTGCCTGGATTATATCATATTCACGCTCAGGCTGGTCCACATCTTCACTGTCAGCAGAAACCTAGGACCCAAGATTATAATGTTGCAGAGAATGGTAAGAATGGAGAACACTGGTGGCTGTCCTCCTTCTGGCCGCGCCCAGGGTTCCTTTACCTGCTGAGAGGAGGATTTTGCCCACAGAGGGACAACTGCATTTCACAATCAGTAAGGTTTGCTTTCTTTGATGGCTTTTCATCAGGCACTCTTCCAGTTACAATTTAACAGAAGATAACTGTTAGGAGCCATCGGCATGATTCAGTTGCATTGCTGATTAAGATACCTGGTTAGATTTTACACTTTACCAAGTGCTTTCACTAACAGCTGAGGCTACATATGGACTTTTATACCCATTTTACAGATGTGGGCAGTGGGATTCAAGGAGGTTAGTACGTATGCAGTGAGTTGGAAGCATAGCCAGGACTGGAACTTTACCTTACAGCCCTGTGATAAAGCCTTCGGGAGAGTACCACCAGACCCGCTTCACGGGGACCTAGAACCGGGAGATAATTACACACCGAAGCTGTTGCTTCCCTCAGCTTGTTTTCCGCATGACTCAAGCCTCCTGCGCTTCCGACTTTAAATCAGATGGGCGTTGGATGAGCTCATCTGGAGGTTCCTTTCCAGCACTGAGGTTCTTGGAGTTTGTGGTTTTAACTCAAAGCATATCTGGGGTATCTAGTCACCATGAAGTCATGCTATGTGTGCAAAACATTAAAAAAAGATGAAACTGTGCATTCTTGTCTAATAAGGAGAACTTTTATTTCCTTAAAAAAAATTAACTTTGGGGCTCTACAGAATGTAAGTGGTAGGGGAGCAGGGACTCCAGAGTTGGGACCCTCTTCTGCCCTCTGGCTGGTCTCATTCAGAAAGTTTCTGCTGCTGAGCTGGTTTGGGGACCTGCAGGCAAAAATGCATCCATCAGTTTTAATGCTGGGACGCAGCTGTTCTGAGATGCAGAGGTGATGATGGCCATGTATAAAGCCTGAGTGAGCCAATTTTGGGTGGCAAGTTCCCGGGGCCCTGGAGCTTCTGCCCTTTCGCTCGGTCAGCTGAGCGGACTGGCCTCCCTGGCGCGGTCCTGACGCGGTCCTCCCGTTCTCCCGAGACAGCTGATCGACGTGTTCTTCTTCCTGTTCCTCTTTGCGGTGTGGATGGTGGCCTTCGGGGTGGCCCGGCAAGGGATCCTCAGGCAGAACGAGCATCGCTGGAGGTGGATCTTCCGCTCGGTCATCTACGAGCCCTACCTGGCTATGTTCGGCCAAGTGCCCAGCGATGTGGACGGTGAGCCTGACCTGGCCTGGAGGTGGGGGGACAGCTGGGAGGAGGCAGCTGTTGTCAGAACCGGCCTGCAGGGCTCCCCGCTCTGACTCTTGGGTCCGTCTTAGGCACACGTGGCTGGAGTCAGGCTGACACCTGGAGTGGGCAGTAACCCTCAGAACCTTTTCTCTCTTCTGAGCAGGATCCTCTGTCCGCCTTGCAAACATGTGCCCGACATTTCAGCCCATAGTTTCTAAACCTTCTTAAAAATAGTATTTCTCATATTTCCAACAGCAGCATGGCCAAAGACAGCAAGAAGCCTCACTGGTCTAGAAACCAATGTTGTGAGCTGTCTCCCATATACAAGACAGGGACTGGGCGCCCATTTATTTCAAAAAGTGCAATACTGAAAAACTTGCACTGGAACCTGGAATTCAAATGTGTGTGCCACGATCTTTCGGTGACAGGTGAATGGCGGCACAGATGGCACTAATTTGGCCACACCCAGTTCACACAAGGAAAGCATGGGACACGTGGAGACTGATGTGTGTGTGTGTGTGTGTGTGTGTGTTTAATGGAGGTGCTGGGGATTGAACTCAGGGCCTCCTCGATGCTAAGCATGCGCTCTGCCGCTGAGCTAGACCCTCCCCAACCTTGGCGTGTGTTTTGAATAAACTGTCTAGAGCATCTCTGTGGTGCTGACAGTGGCCTGGGCTCGTCGTGTTCTGTCTTGCCAGGAGAAAATGACCCCGACTTGCCCAGCCCTTGGCTCGCGTTTCTCAGCTCCCTGGTGCTTTCTCGATTATCTTCGTGGCCTCACGTGGTCTTTCTGGCCTCTTCCGTTGCAGCCTTTTCCAAGGCCTTAGAAACAGCTCTTTTCCAGACAGCGATGGCAAGGCACCTTGCTATTCTCATTAGCCCCCTGCTGCACACTGTACTCGCCATTTTACATAAGTGAGTGCGTTGGTCCTCATGACAGCCCTACACAGTGGTGCTTTTAGTCCCGTGGGAAGCAGTTCATGGGAACTTAGCACATGACAGGCGGGGTTCAAATCCTGATCCAGCCATGTGTGTGGCCCTGGGATGCAACTTGGTAAAACAAGACCTCACTCACATGCTCAGACGAGGACCTCTAGCCCAGAGCAATTCTTAGAGGACCAGATTCTTACACCCACTGCCTTTCCTGAGGTTTCTCAGACGCGCCTCTCCAGCCTACCTTCCAGACTCAGACTTTCTCCAAGGCTCCCATTCTAGAGTCTGTCACTGCCAGTCACACAGATATGCAGATCAGAAGCTAAGATGTCACGTCCTTGACACCTCCTATAATTTCATCCCCCATCAGCTCATCAACTATTGTTGTTGATTTTATCTCCTGAATGTTTCTGAGACCCAGCCACTTTTTACCATCTCCACCAACACTAACCCAAGCCATCCTTGTTGTCTGTCCGCATGGCTCTTAGTCTTAACCTCCTCATGTTTTCCTCTGGCTCCCTGTAATGTGTGCCACAGACAGAGTGATCCTTGAAAAAAGGGAATCTGATGTGTCGTTCCTCTGTGTGCTGTGGCCTTTAGTGCAAAGATAAAAATGTTAACATGTCTGGTCACTGCACATCCTGTTCTCTCATTTCTACCTTTTCAGTTCCACTACCACAGGGCCTTTGCATGTGCAGTTTCCTGTCTGGATGCCTGGGCACCCATCTCTCCCCATTCATGTAATTGGCTCCTACTCAGTCTTCTGTCCTCAGTTCAGAGACACTTCCTTCTTGCAAAAGCTGTTCGCGGATAAGCTGTTTCAGTTTGTCCCCACAGAGCGTGCTGTACAGTCCTCCTCAGCACTTCCCAGGGGCTGAAATGGTCATCTTGGGTGGTTGATCATCTGCCTACCTGAAGAGGTTGCAAGCTCCCCGAAGGCAAAGACCATGTTGCGCTTGCCCTTCCTTTTATCTTCAATCCCAGTGATGTCTGTGGCTTATAAATACACACCAAGTGGATGGACATGTGACCCTGAGCTTACCCTTTGTTTGGGCAGAGCCTTAGCACAGGGCCCGGCAGACAGCACAGTCATCCCCGCCAGGGGGTCCTCACTCTGCCTTTCGGTTTCTGCATCCTCAGGTACCACGTACGACTTTTCCCACTGCACCTTCACGGGGAACGAGTCCAAGCCGCTGTGCGTGGAGCTGGATGAGCACAACCTGCCCCGGTTCCCCGAGTGGATCACCATCCCCCTGGTGTGCATCTACATGCTCTCCACCAACATCCTGCTGGTCAACCTGCTGGTCGCCATGTTCGGGTACGCGCTCACCGGGGACCACGCCATGCCCGGCCCCGGGAGCAAAGTGGCAGAGGGTCCTCCTTGAGGAGCTTGTGGTGGAGGTCTGCGGGGGGCTGGTGGTCTGGCGTGGGAGGGGCCTTGAAGGGACTATCTTAAAAATACAGCGTGTCACTATCAGCTGTAGCGTAAGTTTCTTTGACACCAGAGACGAGCCTGTGACCCCCTCCAGGATGTTCAGACTGTCTGTTTAGCATCCGTTTACCAGTCTCCCCCAAAGGCCACCACGTGGGCATGCTGTTGACCGCAGTTAGCTCATCCTGAGTTCTCGTTTTCTGTGGACTCAGTGGGGTGGATTCTCAGCCTTTAGTAAGTTGCTGCTTTAAAATGTTTAGTTTAAATATAAAGCAAAAGCGCAGAGTCAGGAGAGTGACTCTCCTCTGGGACTCACGGCTAGTGAGGCTGGAGGGAGGACATGGAGGTGACTCCAGAGCACTTTCATTGCCCTTGGCCATTCTCCTTAATACACTTACGTCTGTCTTTTCCCTTTGTCTTTCTTAGGAAGGTTTCAGAGGGTCCCACGTGGTGGTTACGGTGGGGGTACCTTAGTTTTATGTTGTTGCTATAAGATAGGTGGTTATATTGGGTCCATGAATTCAGACACAGACAGACAGTTTAAAAACAAAATATAAATTAAAAAATTGTTTGTTAAACCTTGGAGTGAAAAAAAAAAAGAGTACTTGAAACCGGAGACTGAGAAACTAGGCAAGACGAGACAAACACGTTTGATTTCGTTAAACAGGTGCTTCAGGTACAAGATACCTCAGGCAGAGTCACAGGATAAAGGACAGCCTGGAGGGGTGATGTTAGCAGATGGTAGCAAAGACTTCTAAGTCCTAACACAGAAAGAGCCCCTGCAAATTGGTAAGAGAAAGATGACCCAGTGGAAAATTGGCAGAGGAAATGCAAGTCAGAGGGATTCACATGGCCAGTCGTCCTCGAGAAAGGGGCTCCACCTCGTGGGCAGCAAAGGTCAGGTGAAACCAGCGATGATCACGTGCTGGCTTAGGATCCGTCAGGTGAACACACATTCCGGGAAGTGCTGGGGAGGATGCTGGGAAGTGGGTGTTGCTGCTGGGAACAGGAATGGTCCCTAACTCTTTGGAAAGTGATCTGAAAATAGCTATTAAAAAATACTCAAAGTTTTGGGTCAACTCCTTCACATCTGTCTGGAAATCTTCCCTAAAGATATAGATACAAATCCCTTTCTTAGGTTATTCTTTGATGCCTATCAATGTGGGGGATGGCAAAACAAAGAGTATTGTATGGGGACTAAGGAATAGTATGCAGCCCTTAAAAAGAAAAAGTGAGACCTATATTTATTGACGTGGAAGGATGATATTTTGTTAAATACCAAAAGCATAGTGCAGACTTATTTTTCATAGCATAATCTTGTTTTCTGACAATAAAAATATAAGAAAGTAAGAAAATCACATATATATTTCACTTATCATAATGATCATGTATTTGATAATTTGGAAGAAAAATAGGAAGGTACTTGTCACAAAGAGCCCTGAGGGGTACAAGGGTTGTAGAGGGGGGCTATCTGTCTTTGTTGGTCAGTGGCCTCCCTTTGAGTGTGCCTGGGTTGGGGGACACCTGCCTCTGGGGACATCACCCTTCCAAGAGGCTGAGCAAAGAATGGTCATCTGGTCCAGGTGTACTGGGATGTCCTCCTCCAGTCCAGCTTCTACTCTGTGCTTGCAGTACTGCTTCTAAAATGTCACTTCCCCACTTAGAATTCTGGAAGGATTTCAGTATTTCCCACTAGTGTTCAGAGTAAATTCCAGCCTCCTCAGCTTCCTCCCAAGGCCATCCATGACCTGGCCTTTGAAAATGCCTTCAGGGTTCACCCTGCTATCTGTCCCTGGCAGGCATCCCAGCTGTCCATCCCTAAACGGGCTGATCTGTCACACCTGATGCTTTTGCAAATGTCATCCCTCTGTCGGCGTTACCTGTTGCATCTTGACCATCTCCTTCCCATTCCTGCTTGCTCTCTATGGAGCCCGGCAGCATCCTTTACCCGAGTGGTCCCTTGGGCCCTCCCCACTGGGCGTAGAGACTCCGTGGGCCCCCTGCACAGCGACAGCCTTCTCTCCTGCCAGACTGTAAGCCCTGGAGGATGCAGATTGTGCCTGACTCAGCATCTGGCCCTTCATGGGTTTATTCGATGAATGAAAAAACAGATTCTCCCCATTTTAGTTCAGTATTCAGCTATCGGGTCAGAGCTTGGCTTCCTGATATGTTATTCACTGAGAAGTGTCAGTGGTGAGTGTCAGACCAGCAAGGGGTTCATCACGTAGATGAAAACATCTGTTCTGTGCCAGGTGCCTGGGCCACTGAGACACCCTGTGGCCATTGGGCCCACCTGGCCTTAAAGTGGGGATATGCAGTCCCTCCCCCATCACTGCCCCTAAAACTTGGCTAGGGGAGGACTCAGGAATCCAGATGCCTGTATTGCTTATGGGGAGCTGGACCCAAGTCCGAGCTTGCAGAGAGAGGTGGCAGAGATGGGTGGTTGTGTATCCACGCGAAGGCAGGAAACGGAGGACCAATTCCCAAATGTGAAGCAAGAGTGGGGAGGACACAAGAGGGTTTGGGGTCCTATTTTGCAGTGATGACATGTCCTGTCATCTTTACATTGAGCACTGGATGGTCCCTGTAAAAACCGACCACTAGCATAATTCCTACAAAAGTTAAACAAAAGGGCTGACAGCTCCCAGCACCGTGACCTTTGAGCTCCACTGATTCAGTGCATCTCCGGAGGCCGCGTGGAATATTGCTCAGAGCCTTCCTGAGTCTGTGCTGTGTGCTGCTCACCAAAGCCATTTTTGAGGATGGTATCATGTTTGTAATTCATTATCCGCATAATGGTCATAAAAGGACAGAATTTGGAGCCGAAAGGCCCTGGAGGTGGGCCTGATATTTTCAGGTTGAGGAAGTGAAAGTCGGGCAGCTCAGCCCCCGTGGCCCTGGCCACTCTGCCGGCCAGCTTGCCTGCGTCCACTCGAGGCTTGAACTTGAGTCTCTTCCCCACGAGGCCCGAGCTATTGGACCACATCCCGCGGTTGCCCCATTCAGTGCTTAAGGGTGACGACCGGGGGACTCCCCTTCCCTTGGGGGGCCTCCTGGGTTTGTCTTAGCCTAAACCAGAGGGCTTTTCTTTGTTAATACCGATCTGAGAACTTGAGAGCAGCCAGATGGGCCCCCTTGCCGTCCTGGGGCTAACTTGTCCGAACACTGTTTCTGATGCTTGTGATGGTTGCTCTGGGCCCACTCCGCACCGACAGCACCAGGCTGTGACCCCGTCTGGCTCCGCATCAGAATGTTCACGTAAGAGCTTAACCGTACACGATGGTGCATTACGAGCTGTGGTGTAAATGGACACTTGGGGGTTTAAAGTGGTCCTGGAATGCTCTCTAGATGGCATTCAGCGGGGAAGGGAAGTGGATGTAAACATCTGTGAATATTCTGCACTAAAACCATCCATCACAAGCCCTGTGTGGCTCCTCAGAGGTATGAGGTGAACTTAAGGTCCGTAGGTGACTCAGGGATGTCTTAACACGGAGCTGCGATGCTTACAGGCACCGTGTCCTGGGGATGACTCCACCCGAGGCGTTTCTGCTGAAAAGGACTCATCAGGCGTGCTCTGATCTACGATAGTTTCTAAGAACAAAACAGCTTTTAAAATCTTAGGAATAATATATGTTCATTACGAACATGTAGAAAAGTACAAAAAAAGAACATAATCACCTGGTGCAGACGAAGCGTCTGGGCATGACTTCGACAGCCCCAGGGAGGCTACTGAAATGAGGTGAAAAGAAGAAAAAGAAAGCAGATCATTGTAACAATAACAACAGCTAATAGTTACGGAGACTTCTCCATGCTAGATGCATCCACGTGCTCTGCATGCACTGCCTCATTGGATTATTAATTATTTTTATAATTATAAAATTGTAATTGGCTTTATAATCATTTATAAACAAGGAGATGGAGGCGGAGAGAGGTTAAAGCCTCCGCTGTCCAAGGGAGGAGCTGGGCATGTAGACACAGGTGTATAACACAGCAGCACAGCAGCACGGAAGGGCTGTTTACAGAGGACTGCGGTGCACAGGGTGGGGGTTATCAATTGATATTCGGGGTGGGCAGCAGTGAGTGGAGGAGACGTTTGCTTGGAGGACCCCGCGAGTGTTGGTTGGAGAGGGAGAAACAGGAGGTGAAGCTTGTCCGGGGAGAACCAGCCCCTGAGGGGCAGGCAGGCAGGGGCTGCGTGATGGAGTGTCTTTCGTGCCGTGTTAAGGAATTTGGACCTTTCCCTGCAGGTGAAGGGAGATTTCACGGGTCTTTACCCAGGTGAATGGCACAATCTTAGCTGTGTTACTTTGACAGAAACATACTAAACACTTAGCATTTCAAAAATCAGTGCAGTGAGATCGCTGGCTGTCACTTGCTGTTAGCTTTGTACCTGCGTGTTTTGATGTTGTGGAGCCAGAGGAACCAGCATGTGCAGGACGAGTTAACATGCCTGCTGGGGCGCTGCGTGGGTACAAAAGTCAGGGTCGCGAGGGGTCCCGGGGAGGTCCTGGCTGGATATCGCTGGCGTGTCGGGGAAGAAATGGCAGGTGGAAAAACATGAAATCTGTGAATAGCCTGGAGGAGGGGTTTACCTGATTGCCATCTAGGTGGCAAGTTTCTTGTATTTCAGTTTTTTCTGAAATTCTGCTGTTGTCTTAGCATCTACTTTTTTTGTGTGTGAATTTTTTGCAGGCCTTCCACTCTGTTCTGTGGATCAGTCTTTCTGTTTTGGTTTTTATGACCAAATGGCTTTAATTTCTGACTTTTTTCTTTTATCATGTTAACATCTGTTGTACACGTGCCCCTCATTTTTCTTATTCAGAAATTTCCTGGCTTTTCTTGTACATTTAATCATATGGAGGAACCTCGGGCTCATCTTCTGAAAGCCTTTTCTCTTTCCTCTTCCAAAAATTTTTTTAAGTGAATTTTATTGTGCTGATGTTACCTTTATAAAATCATTTCGGGGAAGCTGACATTTTAAAAAAAAAGAGCATATCACCATCCAGGAAAAAAATGGTGTGATTCCCTATTTATTCAAATGCATATATTTTGTCAGTAAAGTTTTATGACTTTATTCACATGCATCTGGCTGGTCTTTTGTTACATTTTTTCCCCCAGCCATTTGTGGTTGTGAACGAGGTATTTTTTCCATTATGTTTTTTCAATAACAGCTTCTTGATATGTAGGCAGGCTACGGAGCGCTGCTTACTTATTTTGGACTGAGTCTCCCTGCTGAATTCTTCTCTCTCTTTTCCTTTTATCACGTCTGGAAAGTTTCCTTCTGTCCCTTATTTATTAGGGCTCCTTTCTTCTTCTTTTTCTTTTTTTCTTCTAATCAGAAGTGGATGTTGCAGGTTGCCAGGAGACTTCCTAGCAACAATTGCAACGGTGTTTCTCCTTTTGATCTATGATGTATTATGAAAATGATGAATTATAGAAATGACCTGAATTTTCAGTCGTCCTTCTGTTCTTCGGTCAGGCCCATTACTCTTTAAACGCACTACTGAATTTTGTCTACGTATGAAGCAGTCTGAGTCCTTAACGTTTGTCATCTCTTGGTAACGTTTTCAGTGTCGGTGAATGTCAGAGTCTGTGTCTCTGTGAAGCTCCCGCCTCCTCCCCTGTTCGACTGAGACATTCAGTGCTCTTAGGGGACAGAGCTTAGCTGTCCCCACCGAGCTCCTGCCTGCTAGGTGGCGGAGGGCACAAGGACCACGGGAGATGTAGCGCAAAGGGAACCTTGCAGAATTCCTCTCAGGAACATGGCCGATGGCCGGTGGTTGGCAGGGAGACTGAAGACCATCAGAGCTGGGTGGGTGGGAGCCTGGACGCGAGAGGTGGTCTCTGAGCTACTCTGGACGCTGGGGCTGGCTGAGGCGGGTGTGGATGTGCTGGCCCCAGAACTCAGCCTCTCCACTACAGAAATGGAAAACAATGTCTGAAGGATATAAAACTAATTTTAGCAAACAATTAAAGCAGTCTGAAGCAGTGCCCAGCGGTCAGCCTTCCCTGGGGAACCTCATGGTCTCGTTGGCTAAATTTGAAACTGACTCTAGAGAAAAAGAACAATTTGGAAGGTTTGGGGTTGGATTTGGCCCCCAGGTCACAGTTTGCCAATTCCTTTTCTAGATGCCCTGGAAGACTTAAGCTGCTTTTCAAGACCTCTAAGTGGCCAGTTAAGCCAACATGCACATCTCTTCCCAGTGGGACCCTTCTCGGCCGTGGTCCCACTGGAAGCTCCCAAGGAAGGGAGGGAAAACCCCTTCCCCAGCTCGAAGCACCCCAGGTGTTCTCCCTTCAGTGGGAGTTACTGCTTCCTTTTGGCTAAACCTCAGAAACAACAGTGGATGCATTAAAATGGATGCAGTTTGTGTGTGTGTTTGAGTTTGGGGCATTGGAAAGAGCAGTCAGCAGAATCCATTTCTGGGTAAGTATGTGTGATTTTAAGATGCTCCCAGGGACTCCTTTGAATGGTGATACTTATTCTGGCAAAAAGTACATAGTAAACCGTGATTCCTGGCCGGGTCTGCGCCGGGACTTCATTTGTCCGGGCCTGCCCGCTGTCCTACCCTGTTGCAGTGACAGAAGCCTGCAGTGCCCTTTGCACACACAGCATCCGCGGGGACTAGTGAGGACAGATCATGGTGCTTGATATTAGCCTCAAAGCAACCTGACCTACATTTGGAAGAAACGCCAGGCTCACTGCCAGCGCCAGCGTGCTGCACTCAATGCATCACAGTCCTGTCTGCTTTTCACCTAAAAATTCTACCACGTAGAGTTGACACATGGATCAGTCAAGAGGCTGTGCTGCACGCCTAGTGTAGCAGCAGATGCTCAGTAAGCCACAGCTCCTCCCCGTAGCGAGCACACACCGTGAAGGCCCGCCCCACGCAGAGCCCGGGACGGGAGTGGGGCTCAGAGGCGTCTGGTCCCAGTAAACTCCGAGATGAGCAGAGCCCGGCTCGTAAGCAAAGCCGCAGCCACGATCAGTGTAGGTCAGGGCTTTGCTTCTGTGTGGCCTTCTCCAGGCTGAAGGCGTTGACGTCTTAGCTGTAATGTGGCGAGGGGCGAGAGCGGGGAGTCGCAGCAGATGTGCCCCGTGCCCTGCCTGCTCGCCTCACTCCGCTTTGGCTTTGATGTTTTCACCAGCATTTGGAGAATTTAATCCATCCGCCACCAACATTTGCTTATAAGTGACTATAAGGAGCTTATAGGGAGTTCGTTGCTGCCTCTTTGGCTCTTGAAAGAGTGATTTGGTGTCAGCAATGAAAGTGTCTCGGGTGGTTGAACTTTAACAAATGGTAAAGTGCCTCACAGGTGTCTTTTACTAAGTGATCCAACCAGATTCTTCTGAAATGGAGCATGCAGATCCAAACGCTCACGCTCCGCCCCCTGAGGCGCCGTCACCTAGTGACGGAGCAAACAGGCACTGGGCTGGATTGCAGGGTCCGAATTCTGACTTCGCCACTTTCCCGTTGGGGAATTCGGATAATTTGCCTCCCTCTGCTGTACCTCAGTTTCCTGACCTGCTCATACATGGTGATGACACTTAACATGTTAGAGAGTTGTCTGTATTCAAATCCACTAATATAACGAGACTGCTTAGAACAGCGTCTGGTGTGTAACAAGTGTTAGCTAGTTTATAGTCTTGGTTTAACTTGTAAACAGATAAATCAGGGGTATAATTAGACAGTTTCCCGGTAAGTGGACATGTTTCTAATTCTTTGTTTCGAGGATCTGTTTCTCCCTGTGAACCGTGGTTTACATGGTGAGGTTACGTTGTATATACAAGTTTGAGCCTCATTATTTTCGCTCATGTATAAGCATTTTACGAAAGGATTAAAATCAGTCATAAACATAACTTTTAATGGCTGCGTAATGGAATCATGTTGATTAACCGTAACTCGTGGTACGTTTTCTTGGTGCTGAACGGTTCGATTGCTCCATTTTGCTGGATGGAAGGTGGGGGCCGCTAGGACACGCAGGGCTGTGGCAGACAGCCGTGTGTGTGTGTGTCTATTCACGTATTTTCTTTTCTCAATATCCCCTTTGTTCTTAGGTTAGATTTCCAGAAGTAAAATCAATGGGTCACAGGGATAAATATTTTTAAGGCCCTCGATAAATATTAACAAATTGCTTTCCCGGATTGTTTACAATTAATGCAACAACGGACTAGCAGAGAAAGAGAATCCTTGAAAGGTCTTGAAATAGAAATAATTTTAAAGTTCCTTGGACATTTTTTTGTGATTAAAAAAAAACAAACCCAAACAAATGAAAAACAAAAGCCAGACCCAGTTATGGCCCAGCGGAAGGGCCGAGTTGTTCTGGCCCCGATTCCAGCGTGGATTCTACGCCCCTTAATATCAGCATTTGCCGTGTTCGGCAGTGCCGGGCCGGGCCGGGCCGTGGGAGGCTGAGCCCTGCCCTTCTCCCCCTCCCGCCAGCTACACCGTGGGCACCGTGCAGGAGAACAACGACCAGGTGTGGAAGTTCCAGAGGTACTTCCTGGTGAAGGAGTACTGCAGCCGCCTCAACGTCCCCTTCCCCTTCGTGGTCCTCGCCTACTTCTACATGGTGGTCAAGAAGTGCTTCGGCTGCTGCTGCCAAGACCGGGGCGTGGAGTCCTCCGCCTGCTGTGAGTGGCTTATCCGTTTGCTCGGGCTCCGAGGCGGCGGTTAATTTCGGGGTCCTGCCTCAACAGAGGGGCTTATTCAGTCATTCCACCCCTCACAGGTGTCTCTCTGCAAAGATCAGGCATCAGGTCTCCCCAGCGAACTGTTCAAGAGAAAGAGGAGATTAAGAAGGCGGTGTAGATCCGTCTGGGGTGGCCTTGTTTGCGGGGGTTGGGGTCGGACATAATGATAATTAGGGTGTTGGGCAAACAGGATGGATGGGATGGTGTCAAAACGTGACTTTGTTCTTGCTTTTCTGTTGCTTCTGTGACGTTTATTCTCTGGGAGACCTTAGCTCTGACTCCCGCAGGGCTCATGGCTTTTCTGGTTGGTCTTAGGGAAATAGAAAATCCTACATCACTTTACTTGGTAAAACAGTCTCAATGTAGACATTAGGACGTCCATCCAGTAGATTAGCCGGCCCAGAACCGCCACTCGGAGCGGGGACCCCCTCGCGCCGCGCCCCGTCTCCGCCCGCGGGGCTGTCAGGGAGGGTGGGCTGCTGGCTTTCCGCTCCTCTGACTCCCTCCCCTCCCGCTCGCCCTCCAGCTGCCATTACTGACCTCCCCTGAGTCGAAGCCAGGGAGAGCGGACAGGAAAGGGCAGAAGTGCTCTCTAGAAGCATGGTGCTGTGCTAGGCCGGCTCCCTGCTCCTTGGCCTGGGGCATGATTAAAACAGACCCTCTGTTGTGTGGGCACTTGGCGGGTCCTTCAGCCGTTCCCTGCCTGGCCCCCGTCCCCAGCCATAGCTTCCGGGACTTGGCAGCGCATTCTCCAGAGGTGGCTCCCACCAAGTGTCTGGTTTCTGGGGCTGAGCTCTGCACAGACTCTCCCTGCTGCGGACCCACTGCCTTCTGGAAGGCAGGAGTCAACACGGCCATGAGGTTTGTTCTTTCTCATGTGGTCACCCACCTCCTCAGTCCTGACAGACTGTGGGCAGGCGGGTCCCCACCCAGCCCCTCTCCTCGCCCCTACTGTGGGAGCCGGAATCTCTCACCCTTGACCCCCAGGCACACCCAGGTTCACATCTCTGTTGGCTGCAGGGAGCAGGCATCCAGATCTTTTCCCCACATCACTTCAGGTTTTGTTTTCTTAACTCTCCATCCTGGAGTCACTAAGCCAGATGAGTCCTCCTCACCCACAGACGTGTTTCAGCCAAGCTCAGCACAAGGGAGGGGGGAGCCTATTCATTCATCTGGACGTTTGGACACAAAGGAAAAGACAGAAAGGGCACCGCTGGTAAATAGCACACACTTTGCCCTCTAACCTCAGACTCAAGCCGGAGGACCCGTCCCTGGGGTGGCTGGGGTGGGGTGGTGCAGCTGCAGGGCTGACTTCTGCACAGCGACGGGGCCAGGTCCTTCTCGGTCCACACAGTTCTTTTCATTTCTTTTAAAAATCAGAAGAAAAAGAACTTTTAGGCAGCAGAAAACCTACTGGTACGTACTTGTCTTTCTACCAAGCCAGTCATGTAATATGCTTACTGCTGTCTTTATCCCGCAAGGGCCCACGTCAGCAGAAGTGCCGAGAGCCTGGGGTGGCCAGCTTGCCCTGGTTTGCCCAGAACTTCCCTGTCTTTGTTCTGAGCACCCAGTTAGGGTGACCAACTGTTCTCAGTCTGCCAGGGACCATCCCTGTTAGCAAACTGCAAGGCCTGCATCCCGGGGGCCCCATCAGTTCAGGGGCTGCTGGTCACCCTAGCAGGGCCTATGAAAGTCATCACATGGCCCCATGTGCTGACAAGGGGTGTGGGGATAATGACTCAGGTCGGACCCAGTGTTGGTACCTGTGGGATTTCCTTCCCATTCCTTCTTGAGGAAAAGCAAAGAAAGGTCCCTGGGGGTCTCTGAGCACGTCTGTTGTGTAAACAACCCATTGAAACTTGGTCGCCTGAAGCAACCAGCATTTATCTGCTCATGATTCCGTGGGTCCGTCCTTGGCCGGGTCTCTGTTCCTCGTGGTGTCCGGTCATTAGCAGGCGGGGCATGGCCTGGCTGGTCCTGATGTCCACACGTGTAGGGTTGGCTGGGCTTTATCTGGGAGACTTGGTGTCCTCCAGTTCAGACTCCCACAGTTGGAGGCTAGACTCCCACAAAAAGCAGTTACAAAGCCTCTGAGGGCTTTGGCTCAGGAAGTCAGATGACACCACCTCTGCCACGTTCTGTTGGTCAGAACAAGTCGCAGGCCTGCCCACATCAGGAGAGTAAAGAAGGAGGGTCCACCTCTTGGTGGGAGAGCAGCCTACACACTCAGGGTGGGCAGAATCTGTGGCCCTACTTTGACATTTATCACACCGGCTATCCCCTGAACAAGCTGGGTGAGCTGATCCCCTGAGAGTCCCCTCCGCCATGCCAGCCTCTCACAAGAAGGCAAGATTGTCATCACCCTCCCCACCCGGGCATTGCAGCTGAGCTGAGCTGTGCATGGGGGGCAGTGTGCATGGGGGCGTGCCTCTCATGAGCTCACCTGCCATGTTAGACCTAGATCTGACACACTAGAAATGAAAACATTTATTTCACCAGGTGGTTCTGAGCAGTCCAAAATTATCTTTGCCTTGAACAATTTAAAATAAAATTTTCTAAGGTATAACAGCTATAACTGCATTCACCACAGGGAAATGCTCAGAATCTAGGCTGACTTTATGTACATATATTGGCCTATTTGCTGTATCTTTATTGCTTCTCAAAAGCTTGGGCAATTGAGCACAGATCTTTAAAAAACAGCTTCTTGATCTTTCTCAGTGCTTAGCTGCTTTTTCTTTGCCATTTTCTAAAACTGATATATTTTC